CCTGGGCCACTGGAAGTGAGAGGCGATGGTGAGAGGCCCAGAGGTGTCCTGCCTCTCCCAGGGAGTCCTGCTTCCCCTACACTTGGTGATACCTGGCTGACTCCTAAAAGGCAAAATGTGCTTGTCAGAGATATTTGTACATCATCTATGCTGGGACGCAGTAGAAGGGAGTTGCCCCAATTTTCCCTCTCTGCTGGATGGCAGAACACAATCAGAGGCTCCTGTGAACAATCACAGTCTCCCTCAATCCCTCCAATATTGCCCTTACAGCTCACCCTGGCATGCAGCTACCAGCGAAAGAAGGGGTTGAAGTCCACAGTCTAGTGCTTGCACTTCATACTGGTGCATAAAAATGCAAGATTCCCACCACTACCACCAGAGAAGACCTTTTACAGCACTTAGAAGTTTTACACCTTACTTCCGAGGTGCAAAGCGAGATGCTAGACAAAACCAGGCTCCGTTCAAGTCAAACAGCCTCTCTCCTGGAGAATCAGCAGAGTAGCAGCTTAAAAGCAGCCCAAGTTGAGCAGTCATCACAAAATAGCTACTAAATCAATGTGGTATCTTCAGCTTCAACCCCAGGCTTATGCAACTACAGCAGTGGGATAAACTCCCAACCGACATGCCAGCCAGGCAAAGGCTCTGGCCTGGGCTCTGCAAAGTGCCCTGAGAAGTAGCAGGCAGGTTATAAGGATGACAGCATGTAGGAAAACCCAAGAGTACCTCAGAGTGCGGGGTCTCCCCCATTCCCTCCTCATTCCTCTCCTTCTTGGGATGCACTGCAGTAGAGGCATGGCGCTGTCTCTTCCGCTTCCGCTGCTTCTCCAAGAGCTTTTCAGAAGCTGCAATGCAACAGAAAGACCACTCAAGGAAAATTCAGAAATAACTCCCTTGCTACAGGCACCACCCTTTCCAAGAGCTTCAGGTTGGGTCCTACTGTCGTTGAAGGCGTAAGGGCTGGCACAGTACCAGCCTCAAGACAGTCTGCCCTCCGTCCTGCAACCATCAGACCACCACTGACTCACACTGGTTTAAGCTTCTTTTGATGAACAGTATCACTGACTTTCCCGATACAGCCCCCTCCAGCAGGAGAAGAAGAAACTTTACCAACATCAAGCTTATGCTGCTAATCAAATGTTGATAACTACCTCCTCCCACCACACTGCAACAAAAACTCCCTCACATGGATGCCAATGTGATGCAAAGGCAGAGGGGGAGGGAGGACAATGTAACTGCACAGCTGTCCCTGGCACAAGGCAGCCACCGCTGAGCCTGGTCACAGCACGTCATCAGGCAAAAGACAGCGTGTTGGCACAGGACCTGTGCCAGTGAGGGTCATAGGCTGGGTGCTTGAAGGAAAGAGATGACATTCACATCTTCTCAGAGAAACATTTCCATAGGGAAATCAAAGTCCTTGACAGTGCCTTGGGTCAATCTTCCTACTCAGTTCTTCTGCCACTGCCTCAGCTCAGCCAAGTGCTCTCCGAGAGCCCAGGACACACAAGCCCTTAGACACAGACACACAAAGCCACAGGCACCGATTCAAATGTCACCAACAACCCACGCCCACAGCCATGCCTTCACTTACCTTCTCCCAAGTCCGAGAAGTGGGCTGGTGAGCAGAGCTCAGAGCTGTCGTTCTCCAAAGGACCAATGCCCTAGAAATAAGAACAGTCGAGTCACCAGTGGCGAATGAGAGACGCACGCTTGTCAGCCACATGGAGCCCTTTACGAATGACCGCAACTTGGAACTTACAGTTCAGGTCATGGATTCATCAGCAATTAGAGACTTTACAAGGAAACATTTGTTTTGTGTGTGCATGATAGATAAAACCCACACGGAAAAGTGAAGTCCTGCCCAGAGGCAGGGAGGAACGCTGAGAATGCTGTGCCTTGCGCTCACCAGCGCTATCGGTTGTTTCCTGAGCTCTCCCCAACAGGCTGCCAACACCCTGTAAGCTGCTGGGACCAGAGATTCTATTCTGGCTTTACACTTTTGCAGTGGTTAAGACCGAAAAACACTGGCCTCTGCGCTACTGCAACCATGATAACTGTATTAAGACTGTGCCACATAGAGAAAAAGGAAAGGAAAAAAGCTATTATTAATCAACCTTAGACACAGTGACAAGTCTTGTACACCAGCTGAAATAATTCTTGGCAAGTTGTTTGTTTCCAAACTACACCACTGAATATCAAGTATTTTGCAGAGCAGCATTTTCTTTAAAAATATGCACCAAGAACTGAATACTCTATGCAATACAGGTCAAGCCTCCATCCTGCTACAAGCTCTGCACTTATGTACCATTCACCAGCTCACTTGGGAAGGTAACAAAGGGAACACTGGTCAGAGGAAATCTGATGGAAAAGAACAAAGCCTCAGGTTCAAGTCCAAGCTACACAGCAACGTGACAGTGACAGAAAGCCTCTGTGCATAACATTTCTGCTCACACTTCCTCAGCCAGCATCCAGATGACTTCTTTTTGATATAAATCAATGAGGAGAGGAGATTTTACAGCAAAAATTACCCAATCCTCGATACCAGTGGGGAGGGGTGGGGAACACATCTGTATTCACATTTCATCATCATAACACAGCAACCAGCACCTTTGGGAAGGGTGGACCTTTGCTCCTGGGCCACAGCCAACAAAAAACCACAGCCTGTCACACTGTGTCTCATTCAGCAGAGTCTGCTCTCGAGGCTCGTTTTCTATCTGGTTTTCAAAAGACCTAAAAGGGAAGTACCTTCTTCGGGGGAGTCCACTCATCCTTCTTTGGCATAAAGGCAGTGTCCAAATCATTGGATTCCAAGAGCTTTTTAGTGGGCTTCCTCTGACGCTTGCTTTCAAAGTTTCCTGCAACAAAACTCTTCACATCAGATAAAGGGGGTCATCTTCTTTTCAATCAGACTAAGACCATTAAGCAAATATCAGCCAACAGTTCAAAACAATCTGCTTTGCCCTGTCTTTGGTTTCATAAGCTCCTAGTAGAGAGGTGCCAATTATCTTCCAAAAAAATTAACTTCCAAAAAAATGGACCTCAGTCCATCGTGACCTTCAGGCGTACCTCAATACACTAATACAAAAATCCACCCACAGAAGAAAGATTATGAAGTCGATGCCAGGAGGTAACACATCCTGGTAGTGCAGCTCAGATCGTAATTTCCCAATCGCTTTGATCTGGCAGAAGCCAGCCCTACCACTGACAAACCCAGCCTTCCCTCCACTCCCACACCACTCACACCAGCCGTCGTGCTGCGCACCGTAAACAGGCTAAAGGACAAGCTCTCGGTAACAACTACCTGGGAAGACATCCCAAACAAGCCAGCTGTAACCTGCACTATTTCCTACTCAAGGTTTAGCTGGCACTCAGGAAGCAACAAGCTGCTAGACCTTGGATTTTTCGCACTAATTTTGGCAACAGCATAAACTTAAAACTACCAGGAAATTATGATGCTGTAAGTGCAAGTCACTGCGCAGAAACAACTTGCTACCCATCCTACGCTGTCATCCGCTTGCTTCATCATCCTCGGCTGTGTCCTCTCTGTGACACATGCTGTGCCACCTCCGCGGGCTCTGCTGATGCATCAGACACCTAATAGAGGGACAACAGGGCACTGCTCTCAAGGTCAGGCTCTGCCCACAGCCTGGACTCTATGTGCTTCAGCAAGAGGTGAGTTTTGGCAGGAGGGGGAAGAGCTACGCAACCTCTGCACATTGCATGCGTTCTCCCACTGCTGCACCCTGTTCTCCTGCATTTCCAGCCTCAGGTTGACATCCTCAGATTTTTCTCCTTTGATCTTAACCTAACGTTCCATTTCCATCTGACACCCACAAGCCCTGACAGGCAATCCCTCTGCCGACGCCAGGCATGTCCTTTACACACCACCAGAGAATGTATGTACTGCAAAGCAAACCCCGATACTGACTCTGTTGGAAAAATGAAAAGCCCATCAGGCCACACTTGCTCTTTGCACACGGTGCCTTACTGAAAGCTAAGGCCCTGGCTCGCTGCTAGCACAAACCTTTGACAATTTCTACGGATGCTTAGAATCTCTAATAAAAACGTTTTTCCAGAGGGGTTTCTGTGCTACAATTACCTGAGCACACTAGGAGAGCAAAAGGTCACCCCACAAGCTATGCAGATCAGATCCAAAGGGTTTTAACAGCATCAAGTTACCTTCGAGCTAAAGGAACGCTGCTGTTTGCAAGGATGGACAGAAAGCGCTCGGAGAAGGAGTTGTGACTTCCTTCATTCAGACAAAGGGGTATTCTGTGCCAGGACCTAAGGAGGATCATCACACACTACAGAAGCTAAGAGCATAAGTGCAATCACCCAACTCAGTGGATCACCTGCTGCACCTGGTCCCTCTCCCTTTCCAGCACTAGTAACGGTCATTGAATGAGGCAAAGCAAAACCAAGCACATCACCAACTGCTGACTTTTTCACTCTAGCCGACGCAACAATTTTCACTGAACTAGCGACACGTTCAATTATGAGAGCAGAATCACACAGCCTCCCACTAACCTGATTTCAGAAACCTCTCTTCTGCGTCTGGAGAAGCAGAAACTTCAGAAACATCTGAGGAAGAGAGCACGAGCTCTGGAAAATCTGACGGTCCTTCTAGAAGTTGATCAGCGGGATCAGTGGAATGGGATCCTAGTTCTGAGAGGGAGCACTCTGCTTCAAGGATGGGAGGGGACTCTTTGGTTGAAGATGGAGTTGAAACCAAAGGACTCTGCTCCCGCCGGGTGTCTCTGTCAGGACTGCATTGTGCGGGAAGACCTCCTTCAAACTCAGACCTCACCACGGAATTCACCTAGCACAGCGAAACATGGTGGTGAAAACATTTGTCCTGCACAGCACTGCACAGAGCAAGAACTCTCAGCCAGCAAGAACACATCAAAAGCGCACAGACTCCAGCTCCAGAGTAATAACCATGAAGAGTACATTAGCCTTCACCCACCTTTTGCAATTGCTCTTGGCCTTTCTTTGACTTTTTCTTGGGTGCAAATAAGTGATCGTATTCTTCTGCATATTCCAGAAGCCGTTTACTCGGCTTTCTGAGGCGCTTTCTCTCTGAACGTACTAAGAAAAAGGAAAGCAGCTTCAAGACTGTGTTTCTGAGACAATCACAAGACAAAATTCTCTAAGTGATCTGTAGATAATAGTTGTTCCTGCCTTCTCTTTGAGAGGCTCCATGCAGGAAGAGCCCTGATACTTCTCTCTCTGTGATGCAGCCTTATAACTTTTGAGCTTCCTGTTTTCCACAATCCTGACATGACAGGTGGGATTTTTAAGGACCTAAGGGACTTCAAACAGTTCAGGTAAGAAAACAAAAAACATAAGATATCTGACTTAGAAGCTCCTGGAGTTTCGACCCAACATCTCCCTAGACAAACTACACCTAACCTTCTTGTAGTACTTTTACTGAAACCGAAGACCACTGGCACATCAGGCTCCCCTCATGCTATTTTTGCTGTTAACCCGAACTCCTTTCCTTTTAGGGCAGGCCTACAGGAAAACACTGTTTTCCCGTAACAGGGTTCAGTCAGTAGTTTCACTAGTGAAACGTAAGCCTAACTCCTTCCCTTCCCCTCCTCCCCGGCGTATTTCTGTGTATACTACAAGAGCCTTGTGCTCCCCATCTGCTGCTGCGAGCCCTTTTATTGCCTCTGCTTCCTGACAATAGATTCCACAATGAGACCAGGGAGCGCAGGGTCCGCGCCAGCCACCGCAAGCCCTTCGGGGCTCAGACGGCTTTGTGTTTGCACAGCGCTGCACCAGCGCAAGGGAAACCTGGTAACAGGTATTTCCTCGACAAAAACCGAAGCACCTGTGCTACACCACCGCAACGCCCTGGTACACAGCAAGCTCCAAAAAAAACCCAAACAAAAACCTGATGCTGTACACCATTCTCCACCCGGCAAGCCGCAGAAACACAATGATGCAAGATCGTGTCTTTTTCTCACTTCTCAGAACACCTCTGACTTTCCCCTCCCTTTTTTTTTTTTTTTACTTTTCAAAACTATTAAATAATATTGTTTAAATATTTCTCCTAGTCACAAAAATATTTGTGGTCTACCGGAAGCTTGGGAACAAACAAAGAGATATTCCCTTTGCCTCTCATCTGTAGGAGGTGGCTTTTTCTTTTTTAAAACGGAAACATTTTATAACAAAGCATTCCAGCGCAACACTTCAGAACAGGGATGTTGGACAAGATTGCTACACTTTATTGTGGCTTTGTGGTTAAACAAGCACGAAAATGTCAAACATGGCCAAAAGAGAAGAAAGGAACAACTTTCTCAAACAGTTATTTTCAGCCCCTGTTAAAGCTCTGTACACGTTTCTGGGTGGATACACATTTCCAGTTATAGCATAACCAGCTATAGGATAAGTATCCTCAGCAGGCAACTATTTAGAGCCCCAAAGCCACACAGCACTGTGCCAGAAGGATTGGCTTAACTGCATTTTTTTTTCTTCCTCCAAAGCAAATACCGGACAAGAATCCCAAATGCAGTCTGACTGGCACTGGAAAAATCACATACCTGATGGAACTATCACTATAAATAATGTTTTATGTCTGGAAATTCCACTAGTCTCCACTTCTGCCTTACTTGCTCTAAATCACACCACAAAGTTTGCCGCAAAAATACGCCAAATGTCGCCATTCATTCAGCTGTGATAAAGACTTTACATAGTTCAAGCTTAAGTGAAAATGTCACAGCTGTGACTGCAGCCCACTGCGATCTCTCACCCCTGATGCGCTGCCTGCTGCGGACAAGGACCAGCCACATCTTCTCAAGGCACTGGCAAACAGAGGAAACTCCTCTTCTGGAAGCTGCAGTCAGTCTAACCTCCACCATCATTCTCTCCACTTCCTATGTAGCTGCTTGATATAAAAAGACAACTGGTTTCTCTGAGGGGGCTTTCACAGCATTAGAGGTTCTCACTGCCACCAGCACGCGGCGAGTGTTACAGCAGCCCTGACACCTCCTCACACACAGAGGTTCCCGTGCCTCCCTACAGCACATCTGTACAGGTAAAATCCAGGTGTGTCTCAAGGCTGATGTGCTGTTTAGGAGAGGGGAATGAGGAATTACACTGCAGCTGCTGATCTGTCCCTTCTGCAGGCAAACCCAGTCCCTTGCTGTCACTGCACCCTGCGCTCCTCTCCACCACCACAGCTGGCCCAGGAGCTGCCGGCCGCCTTCCCGCAGCCCTTCTCTCCTCACACTGCCTCCTCTTGGTAGCTCTTCTCTAGTTCTCTCTGCAGACTTGCGTCTTCACCTCAACCTTACAGGGATGCTTCAGTTGCAAAACTGTCACGACACCCCGCAAACCTTCAGCTGCATTTGGGTGCAAAGCAGGACCTCGCTCCCTCCGTTGGGCTGCGACGCCCCTAGAGCAGAGCCCCCCCAGCCCAGCCCATGTCCTCTCGCCTGCTCCACAGCGACTCAAGTCCTTCAAAACATGCAACTACAGCTAGAGGAGTCAGTGAATGATTAAGCTTGTCACGATTTCAAACCAGAACCTTTACACCTCACGTGGGCTTGTTTCACCTGGTGGGGTTGTTTTCTGTGCCTGCTGCGACTTGCCATAGGCAGGTCCTACGACCGCTAAGCCAGGAGCCACCTTTTCCACACCGAAACAGAGGCACAGGCAACCTCCAGCAACCACTAATAGCAAAATACACACACAGGAATGTGCGCAGAGGGAACATGTAGGTGACAAAACGTACGCAGGTTCAAAATTCCAAAGAGCTGTATTAATTTATGATATCACAAACAGATTAGAGCAATTCAGTTTGGTGAAATCTACAGTAAAATTTCATTTTGTTGTTTTCATTAAGGTTTGCTTCCCCAGATTCTTTGCAGAAGCCTGAGGATGGTATGCGCTGAACATGGTTCTGCTGGACCTATTCCCTCCAAACACACCTTTTCTTTTTTCCTTTTTTTTTTTTTGGCTTTTACTGAGTGTCCCCATCCCTGCAGGAGAGGCAGGGCTGTCTGACCTTATGGTCCTCAGAAGTCTCCTCCTTTCCAGGTCATTTCCCTCCCAGTGATGCTGCTTTACTTCTGCTGGCCATCCTCCAGCCTCACCTCCAGCCCAGCCTCCCTGGCGGCCTCCCTTTCTTCTGCTCTCCCCCTCAGCCCCTCAGGCAGACCAACCAGAGCTGTAAAAACTAGGAAACCGGTAGGATTCCCCAACTCCTTATTAGAAGCTAATAAAACTACATGCTAAAATGCCAAAAAAAAAACCCCTCAACACATCGTCTTGATGAAATCCTAAAGAAAAAACTAAAGATAGGTTCGGTCTAACAAAAATATAAAAAAAAAAGCAAGTAAGAGTAGCTCTTGAGAGTCAGTTTCCCACAATTTTACAGCACTAACATCATGCTCGTGGCTATAAACAAACACATTATGAAGGTGTTAAGTTTTTTTTTAAAAAAAAGAAAAAATCTAAACTTAGGAAGATGCTTATTTTACCTCTTACTGTGAAGAAACTAATAACAATTTGTAACATATTTAAAATTTCTCACCAAAAAACTAAGCAAAATCCCAGAGTCGCTCTGCCTTCTTTGTTCTCCATGGCTACAGAGAACCCAAAAGCAAGGTACCGCACTTTCTTCAGCTCAGTCATATACATCTCCATGTTGTCAAACAGCCCCAATTCCACAACTTATGCTTTAAATGAAAAAAAGTGTAAAATGTAGACAAATACACGCTCTGGTGCAAGTCCAGCTCCCTTACCTTGTGCAGAGAATTCAGACTGGGGAGCAAAGTTGCCAAGCTCTGTTTCTGAGTCCATCACACTGTTGTTTGGCTTACCACATACATTCAAACGCTTGTCAACTAAGTCTAAAGGACTCTCACAGTCCTGATCTGCCAGGTCTCCCTCAAGCACCTTTGAATGAGGGGAATGCCTACGTCCCAAGCACTCATTTCCCTTCAGCGAAAAGCCACGAAAATTCAGGCCAAAGGCACTCTCCAAGTTTCCTCGTTCCCTAGATCTACTGATGTGCTTATTAGATCTAGCACTGCTTTGGTTAAAACGCTGCCATCGTTTTTTGGGTGCTACGTGATTTATATCATTAGACTCATCACCAAGAGAGCTCTCACTATTTGCCTCTGAATCCAAGTCTGGACTCTCCCCATTTTCAGCAGAAGTGCAGCTCTCATTATTTCTACCGGCTTCAGGTCTCCTTCCAATACGATCTAAATTGTCATCAGATAAACCAGCAGAGTCTTCATCAGTTGAATGTTCTGTTAAATCAACAGACTCTTTCCTCTCAGTATCTTCTGCTTCATTACCTAGAGGACCGGGAACCGAACCATGAACGCGGAAAGCATGTTCTCCTGAATCTCTGGATAACCGACTTAGCAACTTACTTGGCCCTCCTGGTTTTAAGTCCTTTCTGTTTGAAACTGTTTTATCTCCAAGCTTTGATGACTGCTTAGATTTTGAACAGTTGCGTTTGGGCACGCAATTTGTGCCATTTGTCCCAGAAACAGCAGCACTTGCAGGCTCCCTTTTACTAGTACCAATCCCCGCCAACTTGGTTGGAGGATTGCGTGAAAAGGAGGAGTTGCTTACAGAAGAGTTTGGATTTACTGTTTCCTGGACACAATCTCCATTTTTCTCTATTTTGTATGGGGGACCTACAATAGACAAGGACTTCAGACCACTCGCAGAATTGCTTCCAGGACCATCAGCTGTGCTGGTATTTCGAAACGGGACTATATTTTGACTAGTCATCAGCTGCTGTTCTTTTGTCTTACTGTCATGCATATCCTTCAACATCATTAGCAAGGTGCTGAATTTGTAATCTGGCTCAATAGGCAAACGACCGTGACCAGAAGCAGAAGAGAAAAGCAGCGGTACTGTGGCCTTTGGAGCGCCAGAGTCACCAGCGTCGTCACTGACAGACCGGTAAGACAGCTCCTTCAGCTCCGACAAGACGTGTTTCACCACAGCCGTTTCTATCTCAGCAGAGTCCCTGGGTTTCTCATGCATGTTGTTTAACAGTTTCTGACCGTCAACTTTTCCACTTCTCTGAAGAGAATCTCTCTGAAGGCCAGAGAAACCTTTGGTATCCGAAGAGCAGCGATTCATGCCTCCCTCCTCTTCTGCAAGAGAAGGCTCCAACCCAGCAACTTTTTCTTTATGTTTGCATTTTATACTCCTGATTCCGGGCAATTTAATGCTTTTCGGTTTCAAGATTATTTGATCTGCAACAGGCCAGGAGCTGTCCTTGGAAACACTCTGGGGAGTAGTGTGCTGGTTTGCTAAAGAAAGATTGTCATTTCTCACATTTGAAGAGCACTCAAGAGCCGTCAATGACATCTCAGCATCAGAGAAGCCTACTTCAAGCTCCCCATCTACAAATTCAGCATCAAGTCTGTTGGTTACTGAACTTCCCAGAGGTTTGCGATCTCTGTAGGACTTCTTCCTGGCCCTTCTGTTGCTCTTCTGAGAAAGATACATGGAAAGCTTAATGTTTCCACTTGGTGCCGTAGGAAATGCCTTCTCCACTTTATCTGAAGAATCACTAACTTCAAGAGCACTAGAAGCTCTCTCTGAACTTTGGTCCATCATATCCACATCACTGTTCCCACCATCTGAGAGGGAAGAGGATGAATCCGATTCAGTTTGCTTTTTCTCCATACCAGTATCAGATGCAGAATAGTGTATCTGTAACTTGGAACTGCACAGAATGCCCAGGGAGCTCTTCTCTCTCTCCAGAGATGTACTGGAAAACAAATCCCCCTGAAGCGTGTTCTTCAGAGCATCACTTTTACAATTCTCATAGTCCAGTTTCAAAGCTGTCTTTTCAAAACGTCTTTCTCCAAAGGAGGAAAGCAAATGGTTTTCCCTGGTGCTGTTGGATGGTGTTAGGCTGTTGGCGATCCGTCGAAGCTCGTGAGACGCGTGTTTATCGGGGAGGTCCCCAACAATCATGCTTCTAACTATGCTCTCTGGAGTTTTTCCTTTGATTTCTCCCCTGGATGCTTCCCCTCTCGCACCACTCTTTTTTACTCTAGTCCTTTTTCTGCTGTCTGAGCTCTTTTTCACATGTGGCTTAACGTGCAATTTTCCTTTCTCACTGGCCGAGTGTCCCGAGTCCAACGTCAAGGATTTAAAACAGCCGTTCAGTTGTCTGTCCCTTTCTGCTCCAGGGCCATTGGCATAGTATTCAGACTGCACTTCTTTCTCACTGTCCAGCTCGCTGGAGTTCTGGCTGAATTTCTGATCCTCTGGCCCCCCGAGAAGTATGTCTTCCGCCTGTCCAACACTGACTTCCCATTTAGCCATAAATCTCTGAGGAACCTTAAAGTCAGAGGAGACAAAAAAAAAAAAAAAGAGAGAAAAAAAGAAATTGGTGGGGTAAGCAACAAGATAAAAGTGAGACAGAGATGCACAAGGCATAGAACAGAGTGACAGGGCTGCACTTTGCATCTTTAAGAGAAAAACATGGATTCCCAGAGACTGTGCCTAGGGGACACAAAAAATATTCCTCCTGGGTAAGCACTCTGCACACCTGCTGAGCGTAATAAAAATCCCTGTGCATTCTCAAAGCAGCAAAAAGTTCCCTACGCACCCAGATCTCCCAGGAACCAGACGTCTCGGCATCCCAGCACACCCTGAACACAACAGCTGGAAAAGTGGAATGTATATGGTGTGGATCCCTGGCACAGAGATGTAAAGCAACATCCAACAAGAATCTCAAGGCAAACTAAGCCTTTTCCTCAAAATACTAGAGCAGACGTGTTTGCTTTACTCATTCTTGAGTCTTCCTGCATCCCTTGAACTCAGCACAATTCAGTCTTCCCTCTCCATCAACTCACTTGGGCAGAAGCACAAGATTCACACATACATGAAATGTACTCTGTCAAACTCAAGACATTTGTCACCTAGAAGTCTCCGAGCTTTAACTCTGTCCCTTTAGTATAAAATAAAAAGCACGCTCCATACTGGACAGAAACCTCTGCTAACACCTAAAACCAGCAAGAAACTTGTTTCTTTACCACGTGTGCAGTTCTTGGCTGCACAACAGCAAGTCAAAGGCTTCACAACCGCTCCTAAAATCAATACCATTTCGAAGGCAGGAGGAACAACTCAAATTTCTGACACTTTTCCTTTAAAAAAACCTCACACCAACAAAAAATCTCATCTCAGTAGATTAAAAAGGTTTTACGGAACAGCCTGGTAGCAAAGCAGCCAAAGACTCTCAGCTTTGCATCAGATCTTGGTTTGCAGGGATGTGAACCTGGACATTTCTGTGAACAACAGACATTTGAATCCCCCTCTTGCAGCCACACCAGCACTGCCATTTACACATAGGATGAGATTCTAGCCATGCAGCACATCTAGGACCAGAAAAGTTATTTGGGAGCATGAAACTAGCTGTCAGGGGGCTGGAACACCAGAAGTCCTTGGAGAAGATATTGAACATGCCCTTGGAAAAGCAAAACCAAATGAACACATTACCTCAGGACTCACATCTGCAAGAGCACATTCAATCTGATGGGTTTGCATTAACATAGGTTAAGTACTTAACTGCTAACAAACCTCTTGAAAAAGAGAAAAAGAAAAGCCAGACACCACTGCCTGGTATAACTCCTCTCTACAGTAACGCAACAGCCTCTGTACATCTTCACTTTAGCAATTCTAAAAAGTTAATTTCTCCAGTCACCTCCCTAAAGATGCAGACCAGACCTGTGTCACATTACATCACACTGGCTACAGCTCCTAAAGGCCGTTACGTTTGGAAATGGAGATGATGCGATGAGCCACAAAACTCGTTCCCACAGGCTCACTGACAAAGTGTTTTCCAAGTCAGATTAAAAGTCCTCACAGATTCTATACAGAGAATTACTGAAGCAGGGCTAAAACCCCCACTGCTTTATCTCAGTCAGTGATCTACCCAAGCGTGTGACTCCACCTCTGCTTCAGATCAGCCAAGAGAGGCTGCCAGAGAGCACAGGGAGTCAGGGAGTAGCAGTGCAGTGGAACAGCCCTCAGGAGAGGGCTGCGCTGCTCACGCCGACCGAGGAGACCGGGCTCCTCTGCCCCTCCGAGCTGTGCAGGGCAATAAAAGCACTGGGTCACACCCCGACACAAAGCAAAGCCTAGAAACTGCTGGCAGCTGATAAACTCTGCTCATTGAAGGACGCAAAGAATCACTTCCCTGGCCCTGTTGCTGCAGTCCCTGCCACAGAAGAAAGCCACTGAAGAGCAATTTCAGGCATAAAGGAATATTTTGCACTGGGCAGATTTGAAAAATCAAAAAACATCTTAGAGAAAACAGATCTTTCACCTTATGTTTGTAGCCTTTTTCCTTCTGCTTTCCTCTTCTCCGAAGAACAGGCAGCTCTTCAAACTGATGTCTTCCTTCAAAGAGGACAATAGCTTTCCCAGCAACCCAGGTTTTCTCTGAAGGTTCTCCTAAGGCATCCACATAGTACTCTCGGTAGGGTCTCCGATTGGAAACTATTTTTAAAAATTTAGCAAAATTAATCTCTGGCATACAACAGAATAAAGGCACAAAAAGAATAGCAGAAAGTGGAAATAATTTGCCACTTAATTTTCAACAACCTTTTGGTTAATAACATTCCCACAAATGCCAGTTCTGGGGGTTTGTCAGAACTAAGGGAGATCCCTTTGGTCTCTGCTCTCTATGTTTTGTGCTGCTACTCTCTACTTCTAAATGTTTAAGTATTTTTTTTTTTACAAACAATTGATGAACAGCTCTAAGATGGGCCATCTCCTTAGAGCAAAGACCACAGTTTGGCTGTAAAAAAAAGAAATTATGAAAGTATCCAAATATTTTTTTCCTGGAGAGACACAACATATTAGACAGGATATTTCTTTTCTGCTACTCCCTGATTAATGATTAAACAGTCCAGTCCACTTGGCTGCCGGGAAAAGGCAACACTGCACCGGCAACACCCAGAAATGAAATCCTTCTGGGTAGGATTTACTCATACAGGTTGAGCCTCCCCCACCATGATATAACCCACCTTGTTCAATGTTTTGTTACCAAACAAGCTCTTATTTAGGATATAAAATGTTAACAACAGCCCTTAAGTAAGCACATACATTTTACAAGGACTAGGAGCAACCTGACAAAACGTTAGTTGCAATGAGTATCTCCATACTTTGGGCACAAAGGTGGAGAGCAAAAGAAGAAACTCAACCATAAGGGAATAATCAAAGATTTTTCAAAGCTGCTTTCTGTGCAAGAAGGTTCAACAGACACAGCACAATAAAGAACTGAACCAGTACTAGGTGTGCTGGTGAAAAAGGACAGATTACAGGCATTAGAACAGAGTAAACAAGGCTTGAACAAGGGATATAAACTTCTCCCTGCATTTCACTGCAATGTGTGTTTTACGTTCTCCTGGGAACTCCCTCACCCTCCAGAGGCGTCGCCCAGACTTCACCGCCCATTTGGTCTGTGCTGCCTCTTCCAGGAGTGCCAGCACAGTGCGGCCTTCAGCAGTGCTGCCCTTCAGATTCTGACCAAGACCAGCGAGCAGATGACAAATAATGACCTGGGCAACATCAAACCAAGGGCAAAGACGACAGACTTCATCTGTCCCATTCATAGTACTGGGTCTCAGGCCACCGAGCCTCGACCTTTCAGTTCCAAAAATCCTTGAGTCAAGAACTTGCTGAGAAGAGGCAAATCACCTTAAAAAAACCCCCCCACCACGCCTCAAATCCAAGGGGGGGAAATAAAAAAGTTTAGAAGTGATGAGTTTGAAGTGATCTGCTTGTTTTGAAGGGCTTGTTCCCTTGGCAACAGGAGAGCCAAGGCAGGAGGACTGTGCCTCCCAGGGTGCACGGAGTCCCAGCACCTCCACCTGCCCAAAAGCACCAGAGTTCAGATCCCCCCGCAATGAGGAGGGGAGATGGGCAGATTGCACACAGCCATGACTGGAAAATGCAGCTTTTCCCAGAGCTCTGCTGGTTTGAACACAGATAAAACACGATGGGAGAGTCTCTCATGCAGCTGGAGATCAGAGCTTTCTGGAATTTGTTAATAGCATGTTTCCTCTCTGCAGAATTCCTTTACTAGTAATCCTCATACACTGGCCGAGAAGGGATTACTGGACAGCTACATACATTAAAACCTGTCCAAAACTTCAATGGGAGGGATGCAGAGGGAGAATATATGTCTGGCATATCTTCCAGCAACATCTTCAACAGGAATTTGAGAGTTCAGAAGGGACTATTTAAAACAGCACATTTGTTATTATCTAGAATCAGGATGAATGCCTCCCAAAGAATGAAGACAAGAGTGGAAAAATAGCAAGTAAGAAGACTACAGCAACCAGACCTGGGGATGACATGAGCACAATGCAGGAGAAGCTGTTTCAAGTCTCTAGAGAAATAGTAGAGGGCTCTGAGCTGACAGCTACTCAGAAAAAGCCTCCTCAGAACTTGGTTCTTAGGCTGGCAAGGGCCACAAAAACTGAAGGGAAATACTCTGGTGAGTGGCAACCTCACTGGTCCACAGAGCTGTCAAGGGCAGACAGCACTAGTTCAAGGGTTTTTTCCAGTTGCCCACAGAACAAAAAGAATCAGAAGGGGAAATCAGGAACAAAGAAGTAAGCGTTTCCATTCCTGGCAGTCTCCCCATAGCGAGTAAGATCCTCAAAGCACCGTGAGAGGCTTCAAATGAGCTGCCATTTCCAATCACTCACTTCCCCTCTGTTCTCTCCATCACTCACCTACACCTCTCTGCCCTCAGTCTGTAAGACTCCCTTCCTGGCTCTCCCCTGCACACGCACAGCTCTGACTTCTCTCCGCTGGCTCTTAGTCTCTCTGACACACTATGCCCTAAACTTTCACATATGTGGCTCCATCTCCAGGTTTTTCTGGCATTTCCCCACAAACAGCCCCTTGCTCCCTTGTGCCAAACAAACCCCCAAAAAATCACTTCCTTGCACACATTCCCAGCACACCTTCAGGCATCCAGCAACTATGCTGCACTACCACACGCTGCTTCTCAGCCCCTCCAGCCTCCTGCTCTGCAAGCGGGGCCGACTGTCTGTGACCTCACACAGTCCAGGCTTCCCAGCTCCACTTCCCCACCCACTGCACGTCTCTGCCCTCACTTCTCTGATCCATCTCCTTTTTTTTTTCCGCATTCCTTTTTCAAGAGGCTGCTCTTTTTTCTGCACTGCCCTGAGCTCGGCCCAGTTACTTACCCTTCCAATGCTCTAGGAAGAAAAGCCTACGTGTCCAACAGCTATCTGTGCCACTTCCATCAGCCTCAGCCCCATCTTCCTCCTGTCATCTCCCTGATCTAGGTCTACTTTATAGATCAAGGTCCTCCGCAGCAGAGTATTTCTTCATACCTTTCAAGGGCCAGAAATGGTTTTTTGTTTTTGGGTTTTTTTTAAATAATTAAAATCTGCAGCACCCTGCCATACACAAAGTCTCCACTGTGCAGTCTGAGTAGATACAGTACCTTTCATTTTTGAGTGACAGTCCAGCACTGGGTCATGACAAATTGTGCATGGCCACCATGGGCGTCTGTTGAACTTGGCCCAAACAAGATCCCCAACTTCATACTTCACTGGAGTAGGTTTCTTCTTGGCTCGGATCTTTGGGGAAAAACCAGAACACAAGAAATCACTAAAGCTCCAGATGGTTTTTTTAAAAGAGATTTGCCTCCCCCCTGGGTGCAGATCACATCTGGCCACCAGAGACATTTACATTAAAAAGCAAGTCCTGATTTTACTTAGTGGCCCCTACACCTTCAAAGAACAAGATGGTTCTTCCCATTCTTCTGAAAGAACAAAACAATAAATTATGGTTTTAGAGGATTTGGGGTTTTTTTTAGGTTTTGGTTCGTTTGTTTGTTTATTTTTAGTAAGGAACATAATCTCTGGTAAAACTGCACTCAAACTTCACATATCTGTGCAGGTAAATATTTGGGGTTAGTACTAGCCCTCATTACTTCACTAACACAAATTTGTTAATTTCAAACGTTGCTGTGTACAGGAAAAGTGGAAGTAAGAGAAAATAAAATATTCCTGACTGGAAGAAGGTGATGAGAACAGCAAATTAAGTGTTTATCGATTAAATAAAAATAAAAATTGGTAGTATGTACAAGCTTCCCTGCTTCTCAGATGTGCTCAGGAAAAAGCTTTTCCAGAACATATTTGAAACCAAAGGCAGGGAAAATCCAAGAAGCTCTTTACATCCTACTTTTTTGCTTATATAAGCAGAATGGTCATCGCTCTACCCCAATACTACAGAGCTGGAGAAAAGGGAGCACAACAGCAGTCATCTCCCTTCTAGAAGATGCACGGACACAAGGGCTTTGCTAGTCCCCAAAACCAGCTCGTGTCGAGTCTGTAGAAAACAGGCACCTGAACCCTCTCCACTTCCCAGGCTGCACAGCGAGCACAAGAACCTCAAAATCCTTCAACACAGACAAACCCAGCGCTGCTTAATGCCGTTTCTGTCTCGCTACCTGGAGCTGGACACTGCTCTCGCAGCAGAACCTCTGCCAAGAGGAGGATTCAGGAGCTTATCGGTGCTGTGACTAACTTTTCACAGGATCCAGGCAGGGGAGCCCGTGCCCAGCCATGGGGCATCCTGCCTGTTTAGCAGACACATCCCAGGTGGGATCAGCATTTTAAGAGTTCTAAAAAGTGATGCAGGTATTACTCCTGTCGATAAGCATCAGCAATATGCTCCTCATTAAAGCTGTCATAGCACAAATACGCACCTTCTCACTTTGCTTCTCCGTCCTGCTCACCACCCTTCCTGAGGCACGTCTCTTGCAATTCACAGTTCAACATCCTAGCAACTAAAACGCAACAGACCTCTCTAATAAAAAGTATATTCCACTTTACATTGAGTTTTATGGGTTTTCTTCAGTGGTTAAAGAAAACACAAAAGGATAAAGTCCTCCAATACACGAAAAAAAGCAGGTAATGATGTTACACACTACATCACTGAAATTCTTCTCACTCCATCTTCAGAAGCCGTGCGGGACCTTCGCACTGAGCAGGAGCTCAGCAGCAGGGGACGTGAAGGAGCACAGGGCAGGGGGCTGCGGACTCTGCCGCTGCCCTGTTGCATCCGAGTGCTTCTACAGCACCCCAGACACTGGTTTTCTGGACGAAAAATATGCATCCCTGAGCATGGGAACCAGAAGTGCCGCCCTTCGCTGGTGCTTTTAAATGCTGATGCACTTTCAGATGCAAAACCCCTCTATCGGTTCATTTCCAGCTGGTCGGCATCCTGTAAATGCGACCTTTGCATCAACTTGGGGTTTTTTTGTTAAAAAAAAAATCAACACCAAACCCACCACATTTCAAGCCCAGGCTTTAAGGGGCACAGGTACATCATAACTGATCACTCGACACGCTGTGCACAATGCACACCCAATACCTGTGCATCTCGCTGTAACCTGAGCGAAGTCAGCTGGAAGGAGCAGTAAAACTATGCCGGAGATTTGCCAAAGCCATTCACACCGATACACCTGAGGGACATCCCCAACTCTGCCTAGAGGCAAGTCTGCATCTAAATCAACTCTTTGTCACCCTCCAATACCCCACACGGGCCTGAGGAAAATGTGGCTTTCAAGAAACTATTCGGAAAATGCTTAAATAGTTACCTGTCTTTCTTTCCGAGCAGTCAGCAGCTATTCTCATTCCTGCCCAGTTTGCTCTCCCCCTTCTCCGGCACCAGTAATCAGATGCTGGCCCCATCATTTGTAATACTAAAAAAAAACAACAGCCCAACCCAAAAACTAGCAGAGGAGTGAAAGCATAAGTTATTTCCAGGTACATAAGTCTCTTCCTTTAAACTCTGCTGTGTGATGCCAGAACTCCAGCCCCCAAGGTGTTTATTTCTTGGACAAAAATACAACAAATTTCATTCCTATTACAATCAATGTTTCCTATGCCAAGATCAAACCGCTAACGGCCAAAAATTGAGCCCTGCAGTAACGACGACTTTTCTGTGAACTAGGGAAAGCCCAACGTTTGTAAACACAATGAACTTCAGATTTAATCCCTACATATGGTCAGAGTACTAGGTGATTACCTACAGAGCATGGAAACATTCAAGTGTTTAAATAACAGCAAAACTTTGTGTGCCACTGCATTTCAGGCAGATATCGTGTTGTAACTCCACTGAATATACTGACAAAATTCAAAGCAGGCAAGAGATTGGGTTAGTAAAGAAAGAAACCACAGCGCCTTGCTCAGTCAGCAGATTTTGTACTGTTAGACCTTCTCCTAAAGGGAGTTAAGTACTGTCTACTCTGTTATCAACTGTTTGGCATTCGTTTGTTATTCAGATGGGACAAGCTATAGTCTACACTCTCGATAATTTGCAGTATTACAGACGACTTTGTGCTATTTCTAGAAAGAACAAAAACGTAAGTTGTGGATGTTTTCATCCAAATCCTCTCCACCAATGCAAGACCACTCATCGCTGAGGAAAGGGGTCACAAATGGAGGTTCAGCGGCAGGATTACACAAGCATTTCCGCATTGAAAATCACCTCCTCAGTTTGTACTACACCAAACACACCAGGTTTTGCAATTCACTAAGTGAAGCTGAGCACCAGCTTTTAGTATCTCATGAGAAAGCAGGCTTTCTAACAGACTACCCCACAAACAGTACCTCTGCTCGCCTGAAATTCGCTTTATAAGGCAAATATGAAACACAAAATCACAGACTCATTTAGGTTGGAAAAGACCTTTAAGATCATCAATCAAGCAAGGAAAGCTTACATTTCTAAGCAATTCTATTATTGTACACATCCTGTCAGTCCTCAACTGTGTCTCAGCAATTCTTCTTCCCTTTAAAATATCCACATCGTTAAAAAGTGACAAAAACCCCACTTATCTAGTAACCACTCACTCTTGGCCACATTACTCTGCGCTGCTATTCAAACCATTAATCTTGCTGGAAGAAGTGGCACAAAGCACCGGTCTCCAAACACATGGACGTGCCACTGGCCAAGGGGTAACACCTTCCCTGCAGCACTGCTCATCTCTGGGGAACAGCCAGAGCAGCACCAGCGCCTCCGGCACAGCGCGGCACGGCCACACGCACCCCACGTGCCCCAACAGCGTGACCATCCTGGCAGAGCCACAGCAAAGCCAATCTGCACGCAAAAGGGCAGAGGTATAGATTGTTACAAGCCAACATTTTCAGTATCATGTACCTAAAAAACCGAGCCGTCCCAAGTCCAAGCGCTGAGCTGCAACAGTAGAAGCACAGTTCAAATTCAGACCTGCTTCGGAAAGCCATTGCGCAAATGCTTGGCCAAAGTAGCCCCATTAGAGTTTATTCCTGACTTAATTATAAACAGGACATTATTCAGTGAAGTGAGGGACAGACCATGCTCTGCGAAAAAGGCTGGGGCAGCAAAATAGATTGTGTGCAAGACGGATGGAGAAAAGCAAGAAGGAAGCCACTGATCCCCAGGAAGAACGAAGGAAGATCCTGCCAAGCCTGTTTCAGGCACGAAGTGGACAGAATCAAAGCCAAGGAAAAAAATAAAAGGATGCAGCCACATCTAAGCAATAATTAAACAATACAGTATAAACAACGACACTAACAGCCTTTTCCATCGAGTGCGCGGCGGGTACCTGCGAGGGCCCTGGGCTATCTCCCAAGCAGACCTCACCGCAGCAGGAGCTGCCAGCCAAGTCCCACCCTGCTCACCAGCTGCACATCCATCCGTGTGGGGCAGGAGGCAGCAGAAACTCTAACCCACAAACTTCAGTGCTCTCTTCAAATCTTCTCATTCCTAGGCAGCAACTCTTGTGCTTCTCCCCCAGGACTGTCAACAAGCTGTTCCCAATACCTACCAGAATACCTACCAGAAGCCCAGTGAGGGTCAGCCCACCGCCTCCCCCACCACCACCTTTTTTCCTTTAAGTTCAGCGATCACTACTTTTCTCCTGAACAGAACGAGATAACAAGCAGTACATCTAATTCCTACGAGTCACCAACCCAGGCCCAGATATGGCTGAAAAGCTATTCATACCGGAAAAGGAAAAACACCAACACAACCAAAACTAACAGAGCAAACTTGAGGGAATAAACAACACTTGAAGGCACCTAGATTAGCCTGGGTCCAACAGTCTGCTGAAAGCAGTATCTACTAACACAACCAACAGCACGGTGGGTGTCAGAGATGTGCCTTGCCAAGGGCATGACACTCCCAACCCCTGCCATGTCACCATCACACAACAGGTTGTTCGCTCTCTGCCCTCGCAGAGGAAGGGCAGCAACCAGGGCAAGTTCCCTCTACTCGAAGCACTCCCAGAACTGGAAGAGCTTCCAGAAATCTTCATGGGATGGTGTTTGCCTCCGGCTGAAGCGCAGTCTCACCGAGCTAACTTACAGCTGAAGACAAAGCAGAGTAGCCTCAGCCCTCTGTGCTCAGGCTGATAATCCTCCTGCCCCACAGCCTGGGTCCAGATGCTTTTCCTTCAGCCATAGGAAGGAAGCAGCAATGGCTGCAACTCTCACACAGCAACTGCTGCTGACAGTCACAGATAGTTGAAAGCACAACTCCTACCACCATCCTCCTGGCTCTTAAGGATGAGAGGGTAGAATTAAGTCCA